CACGCGCATTTTTTGCACCACGCTTACAGTTCTCATTGTTGTTTCCACAGCTCATTTTTAGGTATGGAATGCAGACAGTTTGCTTTTAACCTGAATCCCACACAAGGATTGATGCATGTCATGCTTGATGCCATGGCGTGAAGATAAGTTGAAAAATGTGATCCGGTGCCAATTAAGGCCCAAATTTATCGTGCACAACCTGCATGGCAGCGAAATTCTTAGCCCTAATGAAGTATCATTACGTTGCAGGGATGGGTATGGTCACCTTGACCTAATTGAAGAAAAAAAGGAAATTGGAGTTGGGTATAGTTCTTGCCCGATGGCTTGGCCGCCAAACACGGTAGCTAGATCTGTTTCTGTAGCCAGAGGTTTGCCTCCCCATGTTGCTCATAGGACGCATGTTGCTCGTATATAGCGAGACACCTACCAACACTAGAGCCACCCTATCTCCTCTCCAAAGAAAAAGTCGTGGCTGCTCTCACCATCAAATACAAATCGTAACAGCTGAGCGGATATATGATGCAGTGAGCTTCACCCACCTAAGGTCATAAGACACGCAAAGGCTTGTGAGGTTAAAGTGAAAAGCGCTAACCTTCCTAACCAATATTCATAGCATGGCTTCATGGCTTCATGGCTATGCCCGTGTCCCACAACCAAATTGCTACCATGACCGCCACAGAAAAGCGCCTTTGGCGCCCTAAGGTGGCTCCTAAAGGGCGTCATCACTTGCTGATCAAAAGAGGAGCGTGCATCCATTCCCTGCTCCGTGGCCCCACCCATGCTTGACCAGCATGCTGCTTAAATTAGGCTTTTTTAAAACTATGCAATAATAAAAACTTAGCATACGTTTCACCCAACTAAAGTGATCTAAATCTGGCGAAAGAACTGGAGGGGGAGGTTTGGTTGTCGGGCCTTCAGTTCGGGCCCGCCCTCCCCCCCCCCCAATAATTCTCACAAGTGTGAACACCTCTGCAACCGCTGACGTTAAGACGTGTTTGTAACCGCTGGCCTCCCCTCATGTTTACAACCGCTGGCGCTACCTCGTGTTTACAACCGTTGCATCACTCGCTCTGTAATGTGATGCAGTTGAAAGGGATGCGTTATAGGTGTACGATATGGAAAGAGGGGTCAAACGCCTACAGCTGGAAAACTTTCAACACCTCTGAACGTAGTACCCTTATGTGACTCAGCAATGACAATTTGTCGGTTTTGCTTTCAGATAAAGCACAGAACGGCAGAAATACTACATTAGTTCACGCGTCACACAGCGCAATAATGGAGTCAAGGCGCGTCATCCACGGCAGCGGGGCGATCGGCCGAATAGGCGGCCGCATCGCACTTCTGACCTTGGCTGCTGTTGGCTGCATCCTGCTGATTAACGTGACGCATCCGCAGCAAGTCATAGAAGCGCGGCAAAACATGCAGCAGCAGGACCAGCCGGTGACGGCATCATCTTCTGAGGGCCTATACAGAGGACAGCCAATCAGCCAGCTCTGGGCACGCAATCTTCCCGAGCAGGCTTGGCTCCCCGACCCCCAGTGTCGCCACTTTGTCACCAAGTTCACCCGGGACAATTGTCTGGAGGTGTTACTGCTAGCGTCTTTCCCGAGGTCCGGCAACACCTGGACCCGCTTCCTGTTGGAGGCAGCTTCCGGCCTGTACACCAGCTCTGGAGGACCTAACTACATCAAGTATGTCAAGGGCGAAAGCTTACGACAATCAGACGAAAACATACGGAACTACGTCAAGACTCAAAAGGGAGCTGAACTAACCCAGCTTGGCTTCATTGGCGAGACAAGCCTCTGGACGCAGGGCACCACAATAGCGATGAAGACTCACAGCTTCCCCGAGCCATGGAATGCCACCGAAGCCAAGATAAACGAATACAACTGGGCACCGTTTGCTGCCAACACCACACGACGAGCCATTCTGGTTGTTCGAGACCCCTTCAAAGCACTCATATCGCTAAAGATTTACAGCAAAACGCAATCCGTCCTCAACAACGATAACGATTGGCAAAAACTGTTTCAGGGAGACGAGTGGATTGACTTCGCGGTGTATCACGCAAACCATTGGTACAAACTGAACCGTCAGTGGGTAGAGAGAACGAATATGACGCATGTGGTGATATATGAGCACCTGACGAAAAATACCATGCCGGAACTACAAGGCATGCTTCAGTTTCTGGATGTTCAGCCCGATCCGGATCGTATGGAGTGCGTGCGTCGTCACTTGGAGGGACGAGCTCACAACAAGAAACACGACATAGTGCCCAATAATGCTGTGTATCCTCTACACCTGCGTGGATTGGTGTGGAGCTATATCCACCAGCTAAACTGGGTGCTGAAAACCAGGGGTTATAAGCCGCTGCCTCTGGACCTCTATTCGTTTGCCGATGAGTTCAGAGACATTGGCTTGTGATAGCAGGACGACACTGCTGAATAAGAATTACTATATCACGAAACTGTGCTCAGGTAATAACAATGTTCGCATGGGTGCATGCACGCATTACCCGAACTCCTTGCCTTGGGAAGCGCCAAAGCAAGCACAAACATCGAGTGAGTAATAAGTTGCAACGGGTACGGTAAGAAGACCCTCAGAATGCAGCGAGTTTTCAGCGAAGCTCACTGCTACGGCAAAACAGCAGGCTCATAGTCTTCGCAGGGTACGTTTTCGAGTCAATAAACAGGCTGACGACTCCAGAATATTGCAGTTGCATTGACAATTGGCAGTGGCGAAATTACGAAGACCTGGCATTTATAGTGGTATGAAGTGCAATTTTCTTGAGTTCTTGGAATGCATCGCAGCGCTTCAACCGCACTGGAAATACGGAGACCATGATTTGTACGTTCCTGGTAGTTGGCACATCTTCAACCGGTTGTCGTCAGGCATCCCGGCAGCCAGTGTTTTGGGTCAACAAGGGAATCCTATGCATGGTGTTGAATTCAACCCGGAATCATGCAAACACAACTCATCCATGCACGCTCCATCGCTAGAAAAGAAAGTCGTCAAGAGCTTGCATTTTCAATTTGTGTGTCTTGGGCACGCCAAATATTGTTTAGGACATCTACATCCGTGTTACACGTTGTACTTCATGATTCCAGCTAAATCATTCCAGGATTTCATTTGTCTGATTTACAGCGATTTGGTATTATTTCGGGAACAGCTTATTGATACAAATGACGCAAGCGTACAAAAGCATCACCTTGTTTTCTTTACTGAGTGGATACCATGAGTGGTTAATGTATTTATCAAATAATAACCTGTGATTATTGTTCGACCAGATGTCTCGACACAGAGTCAATAAGCTGTCCTGTGTTGAACATTAAAGAATATTTGGGAAAAATCAGCTATGGCATGTTAAGCAGCATCTTGTACCTACCTCGCTAACATTTATTCGCCATTCCCAGTCTGTACGCCCCTGGCTCAAGGACAGTGATAATAATCCAGGACAATTTGTAACAGCCAACAGTCAGAGCATTTACAGCAGGCGTTAACATCACGAAAGACATGATGCTACTAGTCGTGTTTTAACATTCCATGTACCCTGGAGAAAGGACCAGGTGTGAGCCATTGCAGAAGTGTTGCTTCATGTGAACTGGTGGTTGTGCGAGTTCGTTTCAACATGCCATGCTGGGGTTTTCAGCGCCACAACATACGAATGGGTGCACGCTCAACGACTCTAAGCACGATGCGGTGCACTTGGCACATGCTAAAGGTTGCGCCCATCATAGAGAGCGGCAACGATTGGCGGCGCGGTGCTCAGCTTAGAGAGCAGCAATACCTGATGTACTTACAGTGCAGGCAGCCCTGATGTACTTACAGTGAAGGCAGCCCTGATGTACTTACAGTGAAGGCAGCCCTGATGTACTTACAGTGCAGGTAGCCCTAATGCACTTACAGTGCAGGCAGCCCTGATGTACTTACAGTGAAGGCAGCCCTGATGTACTTACAGTGCAGGCAGCCCTGATGTACTTACAGTGCAGGTAGCCCTAATGCACTTACAGTGCAGGCAGCCCTGATGTACTTACAGTGCAGGCAGCCCTGATGTACTTACAGTGCAGGCAGCCCTGATGTACTTACAGAGCAGATAGTGCTGATGTACTTATCAAGCAAGCAGCCCTGATGTACTTACAGAACAGGCAGCTCTTAAGTACTTACAGAGCAGGCAGCCCTAATGTACTTACAAAGCAGGCAGTGCTGATGTACTTACAGAGCAGGAAGTCCTGATGTACTTACAGAGCAGGTAGCCCTGAACGAGCAGTAATAGCCGACGCTCTCAATACGGTATCCAATATACTATATATAATTGAATAATACGATAATAATAAAATATAACAATAATAAACATAATATATGAATAATACAGTATCAATACAGACGTCCGGATCAAGCGCACCAAGTACAATTTGGGGCCATTAAAACAAACCGCTTTCGTTTTCTCGATTGCTTTTTTAATCACGCGGTGGGTCGGATGGTGGGTTGCGTGGATGGCACATTGCATGCATGGCGGATTACATGGTGGATCGCGGTGCGGAACATCCACCCTGGCAATTGGCTTCAACACTGCACTGGTGCCGAACCCGAAAACAGCTCTGCATAAGCCTCTGCAAAAACTACCCAAATACGTTGAGAATCGCTATGACCCGTGACCGCTGGTGCCCAAATGAGCAGTCCCACATCATGTTGTCAGTTGTCCCACTGCTGGAGCGCGCTCCTGCATAGGCTGTAGCCGTGTATCCGGTCGGCAAGCCCCGAGGCGGCACAACTTGCCTTTGTCGAGCAGGACGTCTGGGCAAACGCGTGCTCAGGGACTCCAGAAGGAAATATTGTAGTTCCCTCTCACGCTTGCCTTTCACACGGGGGAGGGGGAGGAGGCGTACTCTGCCACCCTCCTTTCAAGCCCGCCCGATATTCAGCAGCTCCGTTTAAGCTACGTGACGGACTGTCGGGCATGCCTAACCTCTGACCGGGTGTTTTGCGGTGTACTAAACGGGCACCGCCTGCCGTTGCTCCGACGGCAGCGATGCCAGCCTAGCGGACGATGCCGATGCTCCGACGGCAGCGATGCCAGCTCAGCTGACGATGCCGTTGCTCCGACGGCACCGATGACGGCAACGGTACCAGAGTCGCCGGCGCTCTCAGCGGGGGCAGCGCTGGCGTCGACAGATACAGACCGTCTATCGTTAACAGCTGCAGACTGACGCAGACAGTTGCAGACTGTCTGGCGCCGACAGCTGCAGACTGTCTGGTGCCGACAGCTGGAGACTGTATGGCGCCGGCAGCTGCTGACTGTTTGGCGCCGACAGCTGCAGAATATGTGGCGCCGACAGCTGCAGACTGTCTGGCGCCGACAGCTGCAGACTGTTTGGCGCCGGCAGCTGCTGACTGTCTGGCGTAGGAAGCTGCAGACTGTCTGGCGCCGACAGCTGCAGACTGTCTGGCGCCGGCAGCTGCAGACTGTCTGGCGCCGGCAGCTGCAGACTGTCTGGCGCCGGCAGCTGCAGACTGTCTGGCGCCGGCAGCTGCTGACTGTCTGGCGCCGACAGTCGCCTCCGTCGAGCGATCATGACCACCGCCGCAGCCCCTGCGGCGCCGCCGGCGATCGCGCGCGTGTTTCCCGCGACGTCACCGGAGCTGTCGGCGTTATCCGTCGACACCAGCTGCGACGGCCTGGTGCTGCGCCAACCTGCACGGTCTCGTGGACAGCTAGGTGTAAAGCAACTCCATTGACTTGGGAAATGCCGTCATCTCCCACTGATCCTCGTTGCCAGCACAGATCCGAGGTGTGACATCCAGTATCCGCCGCGGCTGAACGACTTCTCACATACTTCATAACTGAGATGCTTCTCCTCGGCGGCGCGTGCGAGCGTCGGAGAGCACGCTCCATTCGCAGAAATGATTCTCGCAAGAACCGCCACCTGAAAGTTATGCAGCCAGTGTGGGCTGGAATGTGCGGATCCAGGTGTCTTTTTGACGGTACCGCTGGCCACAGATTGCGCACCTGAATGGCCGTTTGTCAGTCCGGCCACGGGCTGTGAGTGCTGAGCTGATCCTTCGTAGTGAAAGATTGGCCCGCAGAATTCACACCACAACGGCTTCTCAACAATGTGTGTGCGAACATGCAGCACAAAGGCTCTCTTCAGACTGAAGGACTTGCCACAGACGTCGCACCTGAACGGCTTGCCTCCCGAGTAAATCGC